ACCAATTTAGCAAAGTACTTCTTGTATTTAAAGGTAAGTTACGATTCAATTTCCTATCAATGCACTAATTTCAACAGATTTTTTTTGACAAACAATATTTTTTTAATGATGTCCGTGTTCTTTGGTTTGGTCACCCATATTTCTATAAAACAGTTCACTATTGCTTTAATACTATATAGGTCACCCATTCTTGTATGTGAAGAACATCTAAATTGCAGGTGTATCATGGATGCTTAAGACAGATACTGACATATATAAAGCATGGTCACATTTCATCAAATAATATTTATACTTAACTTTAGCCCTTGTATGCCTAATCCAATTTATCATCAGATTGTTCAGAATTACCATTCCTTCACATCTGATAAATTTGATATGGAGAGGATATAATTGTACCATTAAAGTTGGACACAGAAAGCCAATCTGACATATCTATGATTGTCAAGGAGCAAAAAAAATAACAAAATCCATACATCTTGCCATAGATAACAAACTTTACGCCTGATTGAAATCTCATTCATTCGATTGTCTATGATGGAGTTACCCTCAATTTTTACTGGTATACATGATATCAGAATCAGAACCCTTTACTTTGGCCCAGTAGAACACACAATTTACTTAATTATATGATCTCTCTGTGTATATTCACAAAGGAAATGGGAAAAATAATTTCACAGAAATTTGCTCAAATCATTTGCTTTGGTCTTTTTATCTTTTTGTATGTCCTACTCCTCTCTCAACTAGATTAGACATCTAACATCTAATTTACATTCTATTTTAGTCATGTTATTCACATAAGTAATTGTGTTGAGTTAAATGACACTTGCTGGTAAGTGAAGTTACATATGTATGTAAGAATATGTAGGATCAGTACCAAACACTGTAAATTCTTCATGATATGATCCTTTCTTATTCTGTGTCATTAAGGCAACTAGCATACAATTGGTGATAGATAAAAAACCAGCTTGGTCAAAGTCAGAGATGTTCACGCACATAATATACTTTTAAAACTACAGGACTTTTATTCTGAACTATTTAAATAATATTCCAGCAACTTTCATAGCCAAGTTTCTGCCATATTTTGTTCATATCTGAAAAATATATGAAACTTGAAAGATATTTTATAGACCTTCTTATTAAAATATATATAAAGGTGCAGTTTTTATTCTGGTTATCCAATTATCTTCACCAATATAAAGCAAATCAGATTTAGAAAATAAAGATTAATGATTAAGAGCTGTCTACATTTCTTAAAAATGGATACCTCCAGTACATATTCACAAATACACTCTGAAAAACCTGGCTTACCATACTTAAATGACTTAACTTCAAATGTGCTGAAGAAGACATTCAAAAGACATTCAAACTCTCTAACTTACTGCTGTTTTAGGCTCAACAACAGGCACCAGTGCAAATAAGGATACACCTCACCTACATTTTATTTTGTCATGTCAATCTATCATTTCCATGTCACAACTCTACAATGGTCATTTCAACACTATGAAAAGCAGCAGCTGGGGAAATTACACAGACACTATCAGCTGTGTGTATCTGGAGCCTCCTGTTATTTGTTTGATCTTGCCAATGTTTATTTTATTTTAAGAAAGCAAACTACTTTTGGCAAAAAGAAATATCTTCCAAAAGCTAGATATACAACATGAAGTTATCATGCGCCCCAGGGAGAAGGGCACTTTGCAGGATCACTAGCCTGGGTCAGAGTGCCAGGGTCACTCTGCATCTTGAAGTGTCAGTCACATTCCTCATTTTCTCATGTCTACCCAGAAACAAATACAAATAATAATTCTCTCACTTAGGGTCTGATACAATCTCATTAAAGTCAATGCGAGTGTCCACACTGACTGAGTTGGACTGGATGTATACAACAGTTACCACTGGATCTCAAATCCTTTCAGAAGAATGTATCTTCTCACTGTTTTACATTTGAAGAAGCCAAGACACAGAAAGGTGAAGTGATTTAACAAGGTCACAGAGGAAGTCAGTATCAGAGCTCAAATCTCTTTTCTCCTGCTCGAGTGCATTATCTACTAGACCAGGGATAGATTTCATAGATTAGATTCCATAGATTTCTAGGGTCCAAAGGGACCTTGCAGATCATCGAGTTCAACTCCCTGCTCTAGGCAGGAAAGAGCACTGGGATCAAATAACCCCACCTAGGTGCCTGTCCAATCTTTTCTTGAACACCTCCAAGGTAGGGGAAAGCACTACCTCTCTTGGAAGCCCACTCCATATTTTGGCAACCCTCACCATAAAGAATTTCTTCCTGCTATCCAATCTAAATCTACTCCACTTTAGTTTACAGCCATTATTTCTAGTAACCCCAAGGGGTGCCCTGGTAAACAGAGTATCCCCTATTCCATGGTGAACCCACATGATGAATGTGTCGCCCCCCCATGATGACTTTGTAGACAGCCACAAGATCACCTCTCAGCCTTCGCTTGCAGAGACTGAAGAGATTCAGGTCCCTCGGTCTGTCTTCACAGGATCTTACCCACAGGCCCTCAACCATGTGAATAGCCCTTCTCTGAACCCTCTCAAGGTTATCCACATCCCTCCTGAAGTGCAGTGCCCAAAACTGGATGCAGTACTCCAGCTGCAGCCTGACCAATACCGCATAGAAGGGAAGTATCACCACCCTAGACCTGTTCATGATGCACCTGCACAAAAGAGTGAGGTTAGCCTTACTTATTACCTCATCACATTGGCGATTGGACAGGCATATCATTCAACCTGCAGAGCTTCCTTCAGGTCCAGAAATTTGGCAGTGTGATGAGTGGTGGCAGCTTTAATTGCCACAGCTCCTGGAGCCACAACAATTAACACTGCTACTACTTGTCATGTCCCCAAATTTCTGGAAGTGTGGGGCATCCCATGAATCAGACCTGAAGCCATGTCATCTGGTCTTCAGGGAAGAAATCTGGTGGTGGGAGGAGCAGTGCTTGCTGCAGCACAGGGAGCCACAACAAATAATATTGCTGCTGCTGCTGCTAAACTCTATCCCCATGGGCCACAAGATACAGCCCCATGATCCAGATCTGGTCTGTGGATACTACTGTACTAGATTACACAATCTAAATGCAACACACATCTAAAGGGGTGATTAGCAGTGTTAATCTGAAGTCAGGCAGAGTATGGGGCACCTTAGAGACTAACTGGCTCAGCATTTGATAAAGTAGGGGCTTGCCAATGAATGGTCATACTTCTTTGCACCAGTTAGTCTCTAAGACAGTGATTCTTAGTGGTTCAAGATCCTTCCAAGGGTGCCATGGGATGCCACACACTGTTAGCACTATTTGGTGTGCGAACATGACCGACAAGATAAACACAGAGATGTCAAACAGGTATCCATAATGATGAAAGCATTCTGACAGGTTGTGGTCTTTCTGAGCTCTTTGCAACAGAAAAATTGCTCTGTTATTTCTCCACAATCAGAAAACAAGGGATAACCAAGAGCTAGCATTTTCCAAGGAGTGCATCTGGCCCACAAGGCTCCCCACAAGTTGGGAAATTTGACAATGAGGAAGCAATGGTCATTAATACAGCTGTACCCTCCCCCCCTGCCAAATTCCCAAACCCCAAGCCCTGCATGGCAGTTGTACTTCCTTACCCAAACAGGACTGACAACCCCCTCCCATATCCATGTGAATGGACTAGGGCCGAGCCATGCCCCTTCACTCCACAGGACTGATGGGGCCAAACCATGCCCCCTTTCCTCCCCATGCCTGCACTGGGGCCAGGCCACACCTGCTTTCCTCTCCACACCTGGATCAGGGCTGGACCATATTCCCTGCCCCCTGCAGGGCCAGGCTGGGGCTGGGTCAAGCCCCCCCCCCAATGCAAAGCTGCTTGAAGTCCCCTTCCCCACTACAAGTCTGGATCGGAGTTGGGCTGCCTCCTCCCACCCCACACATGGCCAGATGGGGCCTGTGCCCTCCTGGGCTCCAGTTGAGACCACCAGCCAGATCTGGTCCACAGACAGACTGAGTGCTGACCATCCAGCCTACCGGGCAAAAAAGTTGAGTACCACTGATCTACCTGATCCCTTCTAAACTCTTCATTCCACAGGTGTTAAGAACCTTCCCACCTTTGTAATGGTCTCAGTCTCGATGTTTCACCAGTCAAGCTACCCTCCGTTCTGCAGTTCTGCTGTCTATTAGCTGGTCCTGGTAATGAAGCTCTCACAATCCTGCAGATTGTTTCTAACTCATTCCAGTGAAGTTACACTTGTTTCTGCTTTGATCTTAAACCGAATAATACGGCCCTAGGCCCCTAGTATATTAGCAAAGCTTCTAGTTTAATTTTAAGAGGAGAAAAATGTGAGTTGCACTCTATGGGATGGAGCACCTCACCAGCTGCACCCTCCTTTTCAAACCTCTAGGTCTGCCCATGCGATCATGTATTAATGACTATTGCTAAAACGCCGTGTATGTCTTGCCTGGGGTTCCCCCCATCCCACCCCATTTACACTAAACTTTGCGTTGGCTCCTGCCTAGGCTAGGAACATATGTTGTAAGGCATATTGGCCCAGGTTCACCAGTACATGCTGGCTGCTCTAGAGAAAGCTCACATCAATCCTGTTCTGGCTGGGTTGGCCTCCCTGGAGCAACACAAAGCCACTGGGAGCGCACCCGTGATCCCAGACCGAGGGGTGCATCTCCCATCACAGCAGGTGCTTGCTCTCCAAAGACAGATGACAGGACGCCGGCGGTGGCCAGCCCGCGCCCCGCAGCCGGGACATCTCGGAGCCGTGCGAGCAGGCCGTGCCAGCGACCTCGCTCTGTGCCTGGGCTGAGAGCAGGAGAGCAAGACGGCTCTAATTACTTTCAGCTGCCTTGTGCTTGGAACAGAAAGGGGAAGGCAAGTGCAGCTCATGGCCCAGGCACCAGTGGCTGCCAGGCACTGCTCCGGGGAGGACCCCAGCTATGGAAGCCGGAGGCGTCTGGTGGGAGAGCACCGGGGCGGGCTTGTGCGGTGGTACTCACAGCGGCACGGGCTGGCAGGGGAACTGGTTCCAGGCGCATCTGTACTGAGCCTGGACGTAGCCCTCGGTCCCGTCCAGCACGGAGCAGCTCACGTTCTTGTTCACGATGTGGGCACACCAGTTTCTGGGGGGGCAGAGGCACCAGTGAAGCTGGCGGTGGTGTCAATCTCGGAGTCCCCCGCTTCACAGAAGCCCCTCCAGGACCTTGGCACCATCACCCCCCTTTCCCCAGCCCTGTCACTGGCCGGCTGCAGCCAGTCCTCCCGCCCTGCCCAGCCCAGCTG